AGTCCCGGGCCCCGGGACGCAGCCGAGCCCGGCGGGCAGCCCTAGCCCCAGCCGCGGCCGTCCCGGGAACGCTTACGCCAGAACGCCTCCGGCCAGGGCAGGGACCCTGGCCCGCCGAGCCAGGTGAGCTTGCGCGGCTAGGGGGAGGTATAAAGGGCGGGTCCGGTCCTCTCCGGTGTAGGGATCCCAGCCGGGGGAGGGAGAGTGGTCCGGCCGGGGGTCTGGGGCTCACCCGCGCGCGCAAGCGCCGCAGGGCTCCTGCTGCACTGAGGGGGTGGTCGTCGTGCGCCCTCTCCCCGACTCCAGGCGGCCCCCGAGGCCTCGACCGTGAACCCCCAGACTGCGCTCACCGCCTTACCCAGCGGCAGGAAGTTGGCGCCGAGAAGGCGGAATCCAAGCCCTTTTGGCCGGAGACTGGGAGGCAGGACAGCGTGCCCGGGGAGTTTGGGGAGTGCGTGGGTGGGTAGGGCGCCCCCTTGGCTGACTCGAGTTGAGCAAAAGGTGCTGCGCGCCGCGGAGCTTCCAAGCCAAGGGGCGGGGCCCACGAAGAGGGCAGTCGCTCATCCGCACATCTGAATCTCTGCCTCAGTTTCCTCAAGTAGTCTTCAGTTCCCCCGCCCGCGGGGAACGTGGCTTTGTTTTGGAAGGAAAGGGAACGTGACTGTGTGGCTCTGGCGCCTCTTCCTTCCCCTGGGGCCCGGGAATGGGGCGTGGGTGCAGGCGCGCGTGGCACGGGCCCCGCTTGGTCCTGGGCCCAGCAGCTTCAGAACCTCGCCCCCTCCTCCCGCACGAATTGACTCACCCGGGGATTTCCACTCCCTCCCCCAACTCTGTTCTAGTCAGATGCTCCGGGCACCACGCGGTGAGCCCACGGTTTCTCTCGTGGCGCGACGCTGGTGTGGCTTCGGAAGTGCGGCTGAGGCTGGGATCTACACCACCACACCCCCAAAGTCCTCTGGGAATATCGAGGCAGGGCACCTGGCAGGTCGGAGAGGAGTCCCCCAACCCCACTTGTAGATATGGAGGTCCCGCGCGCGTTTGGCTGTCGCTGGAGAGGAGGTGCCGCCCCAGAAGCCTGGAGTGTGGATACCGTACATTCCTCTGCCAGATAAGGAGGCCGAGACTGTGGCCCGAGGGAGGGGGCGGGTCCTGTCACTGTTTTCTAGGCGGGCTGGGCTTCGTCTAGTAGGGAGGGCAGCCAGCAGACCCGGGGGTCTCAGCCTCCTTTGCTGATCGGGGCTGGGCTGAGTTTAGGAGCCTCCACTCTCCCCGGTCCACTGGGGCCTCTTTTGTTTTTCGTTCGTTGGTTGGTTGGTTGGTTGGTTGGTTGGTTGGTTGGTTCACTCATTCATTCATCCAGCCAGCCATCCCACGTGTTTTCTGAGCACCTTGTGTATGCTAGGTATCATTTCCAAGGGGCTGCAAATGGACTTGGTGCCAGACACTTACATTCTACTATGGAAGCCAGATAGAAAACTAGAAATATTGTACAATTATGCTTTTCAAAATTGCCAAGTGCTGTGAAGATGACAAAGCAAGATACTGTGATGGAAAGGGCCTGGTGAAGGTGGCTAGTATAGACTGGGGGTCAGAGCAAGTGACCTTAAAACTGAAATTTGAAAGATGAGGAGACCCGTCCAGGGAACTGAAGACTACTCAGGATTTGGGGGACGGACATGGCACATGGAAGAACAGCAGGGGCAAAAGCTATGAGGTGGGGTTGGCCGGTAGGAGGCCAGTGTGGTTGGAGTGGAATGACCCTGGGGAAGAGTGAGAGGAGGCTAAATGGGCAGGGGCCAGGCCATTTGGGGCAGTGGGGAGCCATGGAAGAATTTGGAACTGAGTGACATGTTGGAGCTCCCCCTGGCTGCTGTATGGAGACTGGCAGTGTAGGAGGGTGACCTGACAGCTGAAGAGAAACCAAAAGAAAGGGTGGGGGGCTGCCCTAGAGCGAAGAGGCACGGGATCAGTAAGTGACTAGAGGGAATTTAACCACATGGCCTGCCTCATTGGAGCTTGGGGGAGGAGCTCCTAGAAGCCACTGAGCTTCCTCCTGCCTTCCTCTCTCCTAATTTCCCCCTGAACAGTCTCCATCTGTTTCTCTTCCCTCCAAACCCTGTCACTTGTCCCTCTTGCTCCATTTCAGGCCTGGCCATTCCCTGGTTTCGAGCCCAGTGACCTCTTACTTAGCCACTGGGAGGGAGTCAGGGTCGCCTTGGCGAAGGTGAGCAGGAGGCAGGTCCTGTGTGTAGCCAGGCCTGGGAAACCCACACAGGGAGGAGAAGCAGGCAGAGCATGCATCTGCTAGCCCCAACCTCAGGCTGGCTTCCTCTTTCTGGAAAGCACCAACCTGCCTTAAGCTCCTGCTTTATTTAGCAAAACCCTAGTTGGGAAGATGAAATAGTGTGGGCCTCAGTTTTCCCTTCTCTTACTAGGAGAGCCACACCTCTTGAGGATGGCTACAAGCCTCCTGGGGCTGCAGAAAGTGAGGGTGCAGTGTCCCAGTCTTCCCAGGGAAGAAGACAGATGTTTTGGTCAGTTCCTGGGGTTCAAGGGCTGAACTCATTTCTTATTTCTCCAGGAAGTGGTTATAAATCTTTTTCTTGGCCTCCTGACTGGAGAGGGTGGTGGCCCCACTTCAGGGAAGGAGAGGGTGGCCACGGGACACACCCTGTGCTTCTGGCCCTACTAACAAGGGTTCTTCCCAGGCCAGTGATGGGTCCTTGATTCTCAATTTTAAACCCCAGGAGGGGCCCAGTAGGCCAGGGCAGCCTGGGGGCGTCTGGTCGGGGTGACCTGGCGGTCAGACTGCAGTTCAAACTCTCCCCAGGGACTTTCACATAGTTTTAATTATCCTCTGAAAGAAGTGAACTCCAGCCTCCTGGAAAGGACCAGATCAGTGGTGGTAGCTGTAGCGCACTCCCAGCTGGGCCAATCAGATGCTGAGGATGGAAAGCTCAGGCCAATAAGTGAATAGCTCAATGCCCTGGGATTGAAAATAAGCCAATCAGGGTGTGGGCTGTTTCTGGCCCGGCAATGGGTCTGGTGGGGCCAAGCCAGCTCCTGGGCCTCTGCAGCGGGCAGAGGGCATCAGGGCGCCAGAGGCTCTGTCCTGCACAGGAACAAGGGGCCTCTGTGTGGAGATCTGGGCAGGGCAGCAGCCCCTGAGGATACGCACAAGCCCTTCTCTGTTCCCAAAGTAGGACGGATGTCCCTTCACCCAAGGGGAGCAGCTGCTTCTCTGTCAGGCCAAGGTCTGGGACACCTCTCTGAGGGGGTGCCAGGGATGGAAATGGCCGAGCGACCCCGGAAATCCAACATCACTCTGGGCTCACTAGGAACCGGCCTAACCAGACTTTTCTGGAAGGTGGCTCCTGACCCACACACACATGGTTCTTGCCAGGCCTTGGCAGATGTGTTTCCAGGGATCTGGGGATGGCTCTTCCTGTGCCCCATCCCCCACCCCCATTTAGCAAATGACTCCCCTCATGAAAGGCGGACACTGCACCGGGGCCTCTGAGACACCTCCCCCACTAAGCTGGAGGGAGGCCTTGATGTGGCCTTGCATCCTCTCTGCACTTCTTCCCGCCCCCTCCTCCACAGTTTGGTTTTCCTTGAGAGGGGGGTGACTCAGGCTTTCATGGAAACAAATACCGTTCCTGCTCCCCACGAGGCTGCACGTCCCCTCACCTGTCACATGACTCCAGCACAGCTGCCCCACCTTCCGAGCCAGGACCTCCCAGACTGGTCTCCTGTGTCTCCCCCATACCATCATTCCCTCCCAGCCTTCCCCACAGCGGATGTGACTGGGGAGCAAGGCCTCCACCCTGTTTGTTCTAGGGACCTTACATCTGGATTTCATCCTGCCTGGGAGGGGAGTGCCAGCGCCCTGCCTATCCCTCTGGACCCTCTCTGTCCAAGGGCAGGGCTAGATGATGCTGATGAGAACAGGCTGTGGGAATTTTGCTTGGCTGGCTCAGGGAACACCCCTTCCCAATAGATTGAGTGGAGGGCATGTAGTCCCAAGCAGAGTGTGGCAGGAAGAAGAGAGCTAGTAATATTTATTAAGTGCTTGCTATGTGCTAAGGGTACCTTGTGCATCATTCAACAGGATTTATCATCACCCCTATGAAGTGGGCTTCCTCCCCATTGCACAGATGAGGACGTTGAGGCTGCATGTCGATTGACTTACCCAAGATCCCCCAGCATGTCGGAGGTGGTGTGGTGTTGAACACTAGATTGTCTTCAAGGGCAATGTCCTTGAAGATGATGTGACCTAGGATGCTGGAACCTCAAGGCTGCCCTGGTTTCTCCCCAGGACCTTATCTTGGGAGCACCCATAGCCTCAAGGGTTACACCCAGTCTGAAATCTAGGGCAGTGGGTGGTAATGAGCAGGGCATGGTGCCATCAGCTGCAAGCATCTCTCTGACCCAAGTTGGCAAGTGGTATGAGGCCCAAGGTTCCAGTGTATTTGAGAAAAGAGGCAAGCCCTCCAGTTCCTGCCCACAGCTCCACCTCTGGGTAGGTGGACAAAGCTTCTGGAAGTCTACTTTGTGTCCTTCATGCCATTTGGGGGAGCTTCTGAGAGACAGTGTAGCCTAGAGGTTACAGAGTCTTTGGAGTGGATCTCTTTGGCTATGCCACTTACTAGCTTTGAGGTTTTGGGAAAGTGAGTTAACTTCTCTGGGTTTCCCATCTGTAAAGCAAGGATCATGATAATTCTGACTTCATGTGGCAACTCAGTGAGGAGTGATGGCCCCGGGACTCAGCCCATAGATGTCCAAAGTCAGAACCCAGGCAGCAGCCATAGCACTGACCTATCTGTCTGTCTCTTCTCTCTGCAGCTCTGACAGCTCCATGGCCTCGGCCGGCCACTGAGCCCCACCATGGGCAGCCTGTACTCGGAGTACCTAAACCCCACCAAGGTCCGGGAGCACTATAATTACACCAAGGAGACACTAGACATACAGGAGACACTCTCCCGCCAGGTGGCCTCGGCCCTCATCATCATTCTGTGCTGTGCCATCATAGTAGAGAACCTGCTGGTGCTCATCGCAGTCGCCCGAAACAGCAAGTTTCACTCAGCCATGTACCTGTTCCTGGGCAACCTGGCCGCCTCAGACCTGTTGGCGGGCGTGGCCTTTATAGCCAATACCTTGCTCTCGGGCTCTGTCACGCTGCAGCTGACACCAGTGCAGTGGTTTGCCCGTGAGGGCTCAGCTTTCATCACACTCTCCGCCTCTGTCTTCAGCCTCCTGGCCATAGCCATTGAGCGGCACGTGGCCATTGCCAAGGTCAAGCTCTATGGCAGCGACAAGAGCTGCCGCATGCTGCTGCTTATTGGGGCCTCCTGGCTCATCTCACTGGTTCTTGGTGGCCTGCCCATCCTCGGCTGGAACTGCCTGGGCCACCTCGAGACCTGTTCCACCGTTCTGCCACTCTACACCAAGCACTATGTGCTCTGTGTGGTAACCATCTTCTCCGTCATCTTGTCGGCCATCGTGGTTCTGTATGTCCGCATCTACTGCGTGGTCCGCTCCAGTCATGGCGACGTGGCCGGCCCGCAGACGCTGGCCCTGCTCAAGACTGTCACCATCGTGCTAGGGGTCTTCATTGTTTGCTGGCTGCCCGCCTTCAGCATCCTCCTCCTGGACTATGCCTGTGCCGTGCGCTCCTGCCCTATCCTCTACAAGGCCCACTACTTTTTTGCTTTTGCCACCCTGAACTCGCTGCTCAACCCTGTCATCTACACATGGCGCAGCCGGGACCTGCGGCGGGAGGTACTGAGGCCACTGCAGTGCTGCCGGGAGGTGGTGGGGGTGCAAGGACGGCAGGTTGGGACCCCGCGCCACCGCCCCCTGCCCCTTTGCAGCTCTAGCTCCCTGGAGAGGGGCACCCACATGCCCACGTCGCCCACGATTCTAGAGGGCAACACAGTGGTTTGAGGGACAAGTGGGCTGACAACCAGGCCATTGCAGAGGGCTCCATGGAGAGGTGCCAGGTGACCTCAGACAGAGATGTGGGGTTGACAAGCAAGGTGGCCCACTCCACAGACCTGGGTAATATTGAAAATATTTTATACCTGGGATGGCCAGCTGAGGCACTGACCTTTGGAACAAAGAGCTGTGGCAGAGTCCTAGAGGCCAGTGCAGTGACTGGCATGATCCCTTCAGAACTGGATTACAGGGAGGTCTGAGGTTACCAGGAAAGGGCCTGGGTAATAGCAGACAGTCACTCAAGAGGAACTCAGGGCAGGAGCAATTTACAACCTGGTACAAAGGATTTTACTTCACGACTGTCTGACCCTGTGCCAGACTTCACCCTGTGCCAGACTCTCCTCTCTGAATTTACCACCCTTGTCATCTTCTCCTGGCAGCCTCAGGCCACTTCCCTGGAACCACTGTCCCAAGAGGCTGGCGACTTCCTCTTTGACTGTTGGGGCAGCCCCAGCTAACAGTTGCCTGGGCCAAAATCCACAGCTTCCCCAAATTTCACCAGCTGGCACTTTGGCCACTTCTTTCCTTTTACTCCACGAGTTGCCAGGAAACCACAGGCTGGATGGGGGGTGCCTGAACCCCATTCTCAGACCTCATTGGCCAGTTGCACTATTTGGGGCACAGAGAAATCACCAAGGGCTGGAAAAACCTGTCTGGGGAACTGAGGAGGGCTCTGGGTTCTCAGTAGCACAGCATGGAACTTAGAAAATTCTGGGGAGCTGTTAGCCCAGGACCCTTTCACCCTCCCAAAAAAACAACTACCCCCAGGCTACTCCCACCTCCAGCCTGAGCTGAGGTACAGCTCTCCTAAGGCAGAGCAGCCTTGAGTCCACTGTGCCTCCTTTCAAGTTGTAGTGAATGGAGCAGGGAGTGAGGGTGCTGAGGACATTTGTGGGGGCTCTCCCACAACCTTCCCCAGAAGGACTTTGCTAAATCCTGTGGATAGATAGAAGGGTCATTGCGGTACAAACATATATTTATGTGTGTCTGTCAGGGTCTGTGTGTGTACGTGTGTGATGTCTGCGACCCTGTCCCCACCATGTTTCCCCAGAATGGATGCTATTCTGTCGTCCTGTGTCTCTGTTGAAGCTGCCAAAGAGGGGTCCGGCCCACACAGACCCCTTCGTAATTGCTGGCTTATTTCCCCACTTGAGAGCTGGGCTGCAGCTCACCTTGGGGAAGGAAACCTCATGCCTCAAAATGATTTCTTGTGAATGCAAGGGCTGGGAGGGTCTTTGGGGGGCCAGGAGCCAGTTGGGGGCTTGTCTCTCCTCATTAAGCTCCCCAGATGCCCCCATGCCCCATGTCTGAGGCTGGGCCCAGGCCAATAAACGGTTCAATTTCTCTTTCTGATGTCTGTTGTCTTTTCAGGTTTAAGGTGGTAGTTCTCCCATTAGCACCCTGTGGCTGGGGGTGGATGGAATGGGGGAGGGTGACTGCTGCCCAGGCAACTCACCACCCTTTGTCAGCCTTCCCATTCTGTGCCCCTACCCTAGCCCTGCCCAGACCAAGATTGCAGTGGCTTCTGAGAAAATGTGGTCAACGCTGGCATTTCCCGAGGCCAGTTGTCCGGGGCCTTCTTCCTTTTCTTCAAAGAATGATCTGATGGTGATGGGGTCCCCTTTCTCCATCCCAAGTACGTGTCTCTCCTTGGGAGCTGGAGAGATGATCTTGCCGCTCATGGGCCCACATGGCCCTCCAGAGCTCAGTATTCCCCAGAGAAATAGCTGACCAAGCACTTTCCAGGCATGAAGACCTGAATCTTCACAAGGTGGTGGGAGTTACTATAAGCTCCTTTTATGGAGATGTGGGTTGAGAGAAGTTAAGTGAGCTCCTCAGAGTCACACAGCCAGTTGGAACAGCACCTGTCTGGATTTGAACTCAGGTGGGCTGACGAGATCCTGCTAGCTCTACTACTGGGCAAGAGAAAGGATCCTCAACCCCCTTTTTGCCATGAAAATGTGGGCTGCTGGCTCCAGGCAGCCCCACCTGGAACCAGGCAAAGCCCTACGGAACACAGTTGAGGGGTGGTACCTAGCTCAGCTTTAAGGTGACACCCCACTCCTTTGCCCAGAGGCACAGGGCCCAGTGGCTCCTTTGAAGATCCAAGGTTTGATTGGGAACACAGAGCCCCAAGCTGAAGCCTCACCTAGCAACACCAGCACAAATACTAAGGCAGCCAGTGGGAGAGGAGTGAGGCAGGCAGCAAGCAGCCAGAGGCTGAAAGGCCTGCACCCCCATTGGAATTCCCCTTGCTCCAGTAGTGCAGAGACAACCTCTGTTTGGAAACCTGAGCCCTAGCTGAGATTGGGAGGAAGAGGCATAGGCCAGGCAGGAATCAATAAAATTTCCCCCAGTACCCACGTGCTACTTCTGTCTCCTTCAGGCCTTTGCTCAAATGCCACCTCCTTGTAGAAGTCTGCCCTGACCACCTTCCCTCTCAGTCTAGCTCCTTGCCTGCTTATCACCTGGCAGTGTATTATATAACAGTTTATCTGTCTTCCCCCATTAGAATATGAGAACCTTGAAGATAGGATTGCATCTGTCTTCTCCACCACTGTGTTCCTAGCATGTTAAACAGCACTTGGCATGTTCCCACTACAGGGCCTTTGCATCTGCTGTTCCCTCTGCCTGGAATGATCTTCCCTCAGACATCCTTATGACTCTTCTCCTCCCTTTGATCTATATTCAAATATCACACCCTGGGCGAGGCCTCTGGCCTCACCATGCACGAGTTTCTTTTCCTATATGCCTCTCTTGCTGCTCTCTAATGTGGAACACATTTTGCTTCATCCTGATTATTTTCTATCTCCCCCTTTAGAATGCTAGTTCCATGACAGCAGGGATTGGTGCCTATCTTCACTGCTTGGCCCCAGAACAGTGACTAGCACACAGTAGGTGATCGATGTTTGTGAGATGAATGAAAGCAAAAGCAAATGATGGTCATATCAGTAAGTGTTAAGTGCTGTGAAGAAAATAAAATAAAGCAACAGTTTTGGGGTACTCTGTAGAGTAGGCACTATCATCAGCACTCTAACAGGTAAGGAAACTGAGGCACAGAGAGGTAAAGTGAACTGCCCAACGTCATGTAAAATATGAGTGGAAGTGTCAGGATTTGAACCCAGGCAATCCTTGATTGAAGATCACAGTCACATCTGATCCTCCTCAGTATCCTGTTCTGAAGATCTACTTTAACTCTTAGAGCCTGGAACAGAAGAGACCAATGTATAGGGATGCAAGATGACTTTCACCTCCTTTCTCCCTAATGAAGTAGTTGGATATTAGGAAGCATCAGAATCATCTGGAAGAACCCTTTAAAATGCAGATTCTTAGGCTCTGCAGTGAGGGATTCTGATTGAGTAGGTCTGGAGTGACCCCATTATTGCATGTTTTTCACCAAACGCCTCCAGGCATCATCTTGGGACCATAGTTTAAGAAAATTCTAGACTCCATAATCTCAGAACTTTCTGCATTGGTGGAACTATGCCATATCTACCCTGCCCAATTGTGGGCTACTTGGCACTTGAAATTTGGCTAGTGTGATGCAGGAACTAAATTTTAACTTTAATTTAAATGTAAATAGCCACATGTGGCCATTAACAGTTCTACATTGTGCATCTTGTTTCTGCAGCCTCTGAGCAGCTGAACTCTCTTGGCATTATGCCGCCAATTCAACAAAAATTCATGAGTCTCACCATCATTATTATGAATGACATGGTAGCTTCCACATGTATGGGTTTCTCATACAAAAGGATTTCAGAGGAAATTGGTAGTGGGTAAGGACAGATGCCTACTTATTAGCATCCAGGCTCCTGTCTATCTGCCTGCCTGTCCATCCATCCATCCTTCCATCCATCTACCTAAGTCTATCTATCTATCTATCTATCTATATCTATCTATCTATCTATCTATCTATCTATCTATCTATCTATCTATCTATCTATCATCTATCTATTTATCTATCTATCATCTATCATCATCATCTATCATCTATCATCTATCATCTATCATACATCTATCCACCTAAATACTTTGTTTCCTAAGAATAAAGCATTCTCCTATATAACCTCAGTAAAATTATCAAAACCAGAAAATTTACAAACCTTTATCAGATTTCACCAATTGTTCCATTACTGACTTTTATAGCAGAAGAAAATCCCAGACCACTATTGCATTCAGTTATCTTTTCAGCCTCCTTCAATTAGCTGGGCATCATCCCGTGCACTGAAAGGTTGTGGGTCGGAGCACAAGCCTGGGTTGCCGGTTGCAGACTCAATCCCAGTGGGGCGTGTGTGGGAGGTGGCCCATCGATGTTTCCCTCTCTCTCTCCCTTCCTCTCTCTCTAAAAGTCAGTAAAAATAAATAATAAATTAATTAATTAATTAACAAATAAATAACAGTTCCTGAACCTTTACCTTTTGTGACCTTGACATTTTAGGAAGATATAGGTCAGTTACTTGGTAGAATGTCCTTCAACTTGGGTTTGGCTGATGCTTCCTCATTACATTCAGGCTATGTATTATGCATTTTGGGGGCAAAAATACCACAGAAGTAATGTTTTTCTCAATTAGTCTCATTACCAGCCATGCTAACTTTGATCACTTGGTGATATCTGCCAAGTTTCTCCACTTTAAAGTTACTATTACCCCCTTTGTAACTGTCTTGTGGAGAGGTTCTTTGAGACTGTAAATAACCTGTTACTCATCAGACTCTTACTCCTTTAGCATCACACAGAATGGATGTTAAAGGAGTAGGAAGACATCACATCATTTCATTTGTAGATACGCCAGTTTTTATCTTCAAAAGAAAAAACACTTTTTTTCAACGTAAGTGCAATACCATAATTATACTTATCAAAAGTGTCAGTGTTAACATCTCCCCATCTGCCTGTTTTGAGTAATCTTTATTGATTTCAGAGAGAGGAAGGAGAGGGAGAGAGAGATAGAAACATCAGTGATGAGAGAGTCTTCATTGATCAGCCACCTCCCGCAGGTCTCTGAGGGGGGATCAGGCCTGCAACCCGGGCATGTGCCCTGACCGGGAATCGAACTACAATCTCCTGGATCCTAGGTCGATGCTCAACCACTGAGCCATGTCCGGCTGGGCTAGTTAGTGAGTTTCTTAAGTACTGTTTAACAACCTTTCCTTGTTAAGCAATAGACTTAACCACCTATTTAACCTTGTTTAACTGAGGTTGAGTAATTCATTTGTTGAAGAAACAGGTTGTTTGTCCTGGAGAGCTTCATAATTTGCTATTAGCTGATGGTATCCCCTTATGTCATCTTCCTCTTCCCCAAGATTTAACATAGATATTTTTGGCTTAAATTTTTTACGGGTGGTGCTTCCAGCAGGAGGATATGATATCTCAATGTCTCTCTTTTACTGATGACTAAGACCAATCGGGGTTCAGATGCCATCAGTCTGATCCCACCTTTGTAAATTCCCATCCAAGTGTTTTCTAATGGTACGATCATCCATGAACAACTGTTCCCTGGGCTCATCGTTGCATTAGCAGTCTTCAGAGGGTTTCTAATCTATCTCCCCATCTTCACATCCTGGCCAGTTTTCTCATTTGTCTACAAGGCAAATGTACTTTCCCCCAAATCAAACCCACAACCCTGGTGTTTTGGATGACACTCTAACCAACTCAGCTACCTGGCCAGGGCCAGGACTCTGCATTTTTACTCTGTGCCACTTCTGATGTGAACCATGCATGACTTACAGTTTTCAAAATGCTTGTTTGAAGGCTGATACAGGGCCATAAGATACTGCCTTGAGGAAATATAGGACAAGGTCATTGCTTTGTCATTTCCTTGTGGCTAAACCAGTCATTCTTATCCAGGATGATTCCACACCCCCAGGGGACATTTGGCAATTATGGAGACATTTTTGGTTGTCCCACCTGGGGGATGGGAGTGCTACTGGCATCTAGTGGGTACAGAGGTCAAACATGTGGCTAATCACCATGAAATGCACAGGACAGTCCCCCCATGACAAAGGATTATTTGGTTCCAAATGTCAGTAGTGCTCAACTTGAAGAACAGTGTGCATCCCTCTGGCTCCTTCCACCTGGTCAGCTGGTTCAGGACTGCTAGGCGACAGCTGAAAGAATGAGGAAGCTTCTAGAGACATCCCCAACGCCCTGATTGGAGTCTCTGTCCACGTCTCTTTGCCAGGTAGTTTTAATAACTTGGTGATTGCCTTTGGAGAGGCAGTTGTGGTTAATTAGTGTTTATTTCCAGATAGGAGGAGCTTCACGTGAAGCCTCTCTGATTTAATGGCCAGGGCAGGCCCAGGTCTCATCCCTGCTCAGTGTGGTGTGGATGATTTTCTTTGCTGTTCAGGAGCAGATG